AACACTTAGTAGAACTCCTGTCTAAGAAGAAAAAAAATTTCTACGGCAGGCACTGAACTTTTGTTCTTCTTATTGGCAGTTGAGCAATGTTTCTTTTGAAGTTTAAAAAGAACTTTTAATACTTTAATCTTTTTTAAAATTTTAATACAATTATATGATAGAATATAATAGTATTATAAATAATGGATAGCTTGGTGTGCAGATGATAGGTTCCAATGAAATGGGAAGCACTTTAAAAAAAGTCACACTTTGACAGGAATAAGCGTTCGGAACATAATTTTTTTAATACATTTAAAACTCGATGTCACGAAAACAGCATATGGCGATAAATTCCGAATTACGCCTATTCCAATAATCCACTAGTTTCCGTCAAAATACTAGTATTAGAGATACAAAAATTGTATGTTTATAACAAGTTAGAAAACTTTCGCGACAAACTTTTTTAGGGCGGGGCATTTTTCTAGCGTTTATGTGAACAATCCTATAAGAAAAAGGGGATAATATGGAAGACCTCTTCATTTATATTTTAAAATTATTATTGTTTGCTTATATGAAAAATTGAATAAAAATCGGAAATAATTTTTTGATTAATCAATTTGTGCAGTTTCAATCATAATTTATGTGGTTTTCAATAACTTTAACGGCGAGTGTAGCTATGTTTCTAAAAATTTCAAATTTTTTTTATTACGATGCGCGAAATTTTAAATTTGAATAATTTGATTGCTTAGTATATTAAACAATAATTTCTGGCCGAGTTTGAAAATTATAAGTTATTATTAAATTGAGAAACGCGGTGCGTCGGAGCCGAAATTTATTCGTTTCTTAGCTATTATTCGCTCTTTCCAAAAAAAAAAAAAAAAAAAAAAAAAAAANAAAAAAAAAAAAATAAAAAGACCTTTATTCACGTTAAAATATTGAAAAAAAAATAAATAAAAATAATAATATAATAAAAAAAAATAGAATTTTTTTTTGTGGAAATTAAGCCTTGAAGGGATCGAGCACCGGACCCCTCGGAATACAAATTTCCTTGCGAACTAGTTTCCGACGCTACTTACTACACCACGCCTCACATGCAACTTCATCGAATATTAAGCCTAAATAACTTTCCTGCAGTTATTAACGCAACCTATTTTGGCCCATTGTGGGGCCCCTTATTTGTCTATAAAAATTTCCTTTGGTACAATTGTTTGGTATATTAAACTGTAATTTCTGGCCGTGTCTAAAAATTATAAGTTAATATTAAAGGTAGATACGGGGTGATTCGTATGCGTAGAGTTGAAGCCGAAATTTATCCTTTTTTAGCTACTATTTGCTCTTTCCAATGGGGGCGGTCAGTGTGCGGGTGGGTGACCACTTGGATCAGTCTGCGTAGGGACCGAGGGTGTGCGGTATTGGTCCTCGCTAAACTGTGCTACCGTAAAGTGCTCGACTTCGCGCGCAGGTCGTCGGGCTACCGAAGCGGGGGTGCCATACCCTCCGCAGAGGATCAAAATTGTGATGGCATGTCTTCGGATCATCCTCAGGGATGTTTCCCAGACCGTCGCCAATAGCCCATTGTGCAGCTTTAGTGCGACGTAAATGACATACAACAACAACTCTTTCCAAAAGAAAAATAATTATTTTTATGTATAGACCACTTTATTCGCTTTAAAAAATTGAAATGCACTTTTATGTAGGTAAAAAAAAACAGTGCACGAAACTTCTTCCGGCTGCTGATTTTTGTTTAATTAGAGAAATTTTACATGAATTGATCCGGGGCCTCCTTGGCCGAGCGGTATCACCCGCCAAACTCTGTGAAAAGCGTGGAGGTAGCGGGTTCGAATCTCGTTGTTACTCTGGCTGTATCTTCGTGCTGTCCTTCTCTGTATTGTGCTATCTGTCCTTCTATTTGACAAAGGTTTGTAAGCCTAAATTAATCACACACGACCGCAAATGTAAGTAATTCCAATAAACAGTATAAATCGAGCCTCCTTGTCCAAGTGGTATTGTATCATGGCTTCGTGCCCGTCTCTGCGTGAATATATATGCTGAAAGAATTGAAATCTGTGAGAAAGAATCTTTGTGAGGGAATTTAAAATGTGCATCTCAGGAGAATTCATACTTGACGAGCTTGGCTTACTCGAAATAGAGTGGAAAGAACAGTTGCTAACTTAAACAAATGCCACGTTTCAACAACCAATCAGGCTCGCGATAAGCACTCTACGTCACTTGTAGGCATATTATTTGAATATCAAAACGTTTAAGCCCGCATTCTTTTTTGGCGGTCATTTGGCTTTGATTTTTCCCTTTTTGCTGCTGGCACATTTGTGGTAAACGGTTTTGTTTCTAGTTATCTTTACAGTAATTCCGAAAAACGATCAGCGTGTTTCTACTCTCTAATCAAAAGCTCCTTTTGGAATAATGCATTTTTTTAAAAACTAACCTTCATACCATTTTATGACAATAGACAACAATAACACTCTTTTTCGAAGCTCTGTTGCCAAAGAAAATAGAAAGACCATAGTTTAAGTGCCTTTGCACTTGCGATGATATTAAACTATATATGTAATTTTGCCGTGAAGAATAATCTGGGCTTTAGAATAGATAAATAACTTAATATACACTCTATAACAAAAAAATCGACGCACCAAGAAGGAGTTGTCCGATTGAAACGAAAATTGGTGGATAGGAAGACAATGTACAGAATAGTAAATGATTAAAATTTCAGAACAATTAAATAATTTATTGCAGAGTTACAGTAACAAGTTCAATAAGGTATTGACCCGCCTCTAGCCTAGATACAAGCTGCCACATGGCTTGGCATAGACTGATAAGGCTCCTGGATGGTCTCTTGCGGTATTTCCTGCCAAATTCGATATTATTGTCGAACGAGGTCATCAACATTCCGTGCCAGATGCAATCGCCTTACCATCATATCGCAGACATGCTCGATGGGAGAGAGATCTGGTGATCTGGCAGGCCAAGGAAGAGTTTGACAAGCTTGCAAACAGTTCATAGCAGCACGTGCCGTATGTGGTCTGGCATTGTCCTGCTGAAAAACCAGCCCAGGGCGCTGCAGAAGGAAGGGTAGCAAAACAGGTCTTAGTATGTCGTCGACGTACCGCTGTGTAGTAAGTGTACCTCTAATGACGACCAAAGGGGTCCGGCTGACAAAGGAAATGGCACCCCAGACCATAATGTGTTGTTGAGGGCCGGTGTGGCGTGCAATAGTGAAGGCAGGATCCCCCCTCTGCCCTGTGCCTCTCCAAACACGTCTTCGATGATCGTCAGGACACAATTGGAAGCGGGATTCGTCGCTAAAGACTATACGTCCCCAGTCGGCATCATTCCAGCCATATCTGTTCAAAACATTCATGCATACGAAATTTCAAAGCAATGGGATGATGGGTTATAGAGTGTATAATAATTTATTAAACTTCTCTAATCGTTTATTTGGCGACATTTTTCCACTTAGAAGAAAATTATCAAAATTTCTGCCTTATTCTTAGCTTTTGCAAATTTTTATGAGTCCAAGCAATGCTGCACAAGAGAAAATTTTTAAATATTAAAAAAAGTAGACCACAAGCTCTTTTTTCCCCCTCAAAACTTTGACTTTTCTCCGTATTGACGCTCTCCGCCATTTTCGAAATAAGCGTTGACAGTGAAGGCTTTTGATTGGTTAAACTTGACCTAACAGTCACGTGTAACAGTTGCAAACTCACAGCAGTTGTAAAATTAACATATTATTCGCAAAAAAGCATAATTTTATACTACGACTGAGCCTTTGAAAAACAGCCTTAATATTTAAAATCGTTCGATTAGTCCGTTTATTAACACGCAGGTAGTTTTCCAAAGTGCAGATTTCAGTGCAGATTTATTGATGCGTTTTTCCACCCTGTACGAAGAACGGGCATTCAGCTGATATTATATATAATAATTGAAGTTTATAACAGATATAAAGGATTTAAAAAGAAAGCGAAATTTTTAAAATTCAATTCGTCAAAATATTTACCGCAAGTCGCATAATAATTTTATTCACCTATTATTTTATAGTCTAATTAGTGCGGACATAAGAATCCCAAATTGTAATGTCAACATTCCCTTCATAATAATGTGTCGGGACTTAGAACTTTTCTTCTTTTTTTTTGTCATGTTCTGCATATATGTAGTGGCCTATATTTTTTTCAATTATTATTGTATAATTTTGAAACTTGGTCAGATATATTGTTGCAACTCCGATAGCAGAAACTCTCCTGCAAGGCAGAATATATATTCTTATTCTTATTATATATTATTACTATTATTATTATATTATTATTATTATTATTATTGTTATTATTATTATTATATATTATTACTATTATTATTATTATATTATTATTATTACATATTATTATTACATTTATTATTATCATATAATATATATTGTTATAGCATCTGTAGATTAATTTTGATTAAAGTGTTCTTTTTCTTTTTTAAAAGCAAACAAATAAATAGGGGGGGGGGATGAAGTTGCTGAGACTTTTTTTTTAAAACAGCTCCAAGAAACTAAATTGAAGGAACACAGCAAAGAATAAAATTAGATTAAAAATTAATTCAGAGAATAAAAATAGATTTTTTCGTTTCTTTATTTCAACGGATTTATTCCCTTTATTAAATGCCATTGTACAAAATCCAATTTAAATTTTAACATCACGAAGTTTTATACATCATTTTAAGGAACCTTAAGTTTGCAAATTTTTGCTACGTGTATGTCATTTAAATTAAAGTTTAACAATAACAAACTAATGTTTCACTGAGCTAAAGTGGAATGAAATATCTTAAGTATCTTTGATTGATTTTCTAAGTTTTCTGAAAACAATTGTTGTTACAAGTATGCTGTAATTTTTTCTTTGCAGTATCGGATGGAGACAGTGATATAATGTATTGATACTTTCTAACTGGTGAAAAGTCAAACTTTGGCGACCTAAATTCCCTGTTGGCGAAAGGAATTTTGTGATCGCCGCCAAACTAATTTTAGTACAACCCTATGGAGAAATAACATTTTCCCCTCGTGTGTCGCGGGGTAAAGCTGGCTGTAAAGGCAGTGGGAGGCATGAAGCTCCGATCGGATTATTATAGATGGAAATCCTTCGCCTTCTTCGTAAGCACTCTTCTTTATTTTCGAACAAAAAGTATTATAGAGTAGCTAGATCGAAATTTTATTCATGCTAATTATTTTTATGCATTTTCTCAGAAAGTATTTTCTTTTTAATGGTATATATTGCGATGCAGTGTCTTAAAGCGAACATTTTCAAAAATAACTTTTTTTTTTTCCCTCAGGAAGTTGGTTTTCAACTTTACAAATATTAATTTGATTTTCAAGAAGAGTCATATTTAATTTTATTTTTAAAGAATAAATTTTTAATAAGTTGTGAAGGAATGGGGAAAAAAAACTAAAAAAACGGTAATTTTTTTTTTAAAGTTAAGATTTATTAAATAAAGTTCATTAACGAAAGTTTTTTTGTAAATTTTAACTTCAATGTCAAATCGAAAAATATATATTTCTACGGAAACAAATTAATATACTGCCATATATTGTGAAAGTGCTGTAACGTATCAAGCTATAGTAAAGAACTGTTCAGTTTTTTTATAAAAAACTTTTATTAGCAGACAACACAAACAGTAACAAATATGAATTACCCGTAACGGAATAGTGAAAAGATCATAAAACAGCAAGAAAAACCCGTAACGGGATATAAGGAAACTTACCCGTAGCGGGATAGATAAAATATTATAAAACAACTAGATAAAGTGCCCGTAACGGGATATATAAAATATTATGAAACAGCTAGATAAAGTGCCCGTAACAGGATGTATAAAAACTTAAATTCCACACAAAACTCATTCTAAAAAATCAACAACTTTCTGGTGTTCTACTTTTATCGTCTGCTTTTATTATTTAAATTTATCGTTTTGTGTGTTTATTTTATTTATGCTTTTGCCAGCCAGTTAGTTTCTAATATTTTTACTTTTATTCATGCTTTTGCAAACCAATTATCTTTCTTATATTTTTAGATTTTATAGTGCAAAATTTGAAATCTTTATATTATTAATTTTTATGTAGGAAATAGGAATATAGAGTTTTCTCGCTCTTTTAACATTAACACTAAACATACCATAAACGGTTAAATTACACTTTAAGAACTTTTGCATCGAAAATGTGCTTATCATCTTATCGTTTTTGCACATTTGACTTCATGACTTTTTCTAACAATTATAAGCAGTTAATAATCTATTATTATATTTTGTTTATTTCAAATACTACGTGTCGTATACCCATTTCTACCACAACTGGTCATTTGACCGGGAGAACAATATATTGCTTTATAAGATTATCGGATCAGAAATTACGATGCGTGTTCAACGTATTGTATTCGATTAAATGCATATTTCTGCAAAGACAGTTGCGTAGTTAGTTCAATCAGAATAACTGTGAATTCAAATTTCAAGAAAGTGCATAAAATTTTAGACTTTTTTTTTGTTTCAGAAAAAGTGACAAAAACTAAATGTTTTGGTAAGTAAGCATATATTTTATTTCGATAGCTTTACTTCATTTCTAACTAACTGTTAGTTTTGACACAGAAAAATGTCGAAACAATCAAGACAGCAGAAGTTCTTAGAAGAAATAATATTAATTACAAGAATTATAGAAATAATAATAATTGGAAGAAATATATTTGCGGAAAATGTATAATGGAAACACCCTGTACATTTAAAAAAGTGCCTCGAGCAATGAATTAAAAATGCTTATTATTTGTGTTTGTAATACATAAAAATTGGCAATACACAATTTTATTTAATTATAATAAAGTTTTTTTTAGTTTATTCCCTTTCTAACATCCATATTTCATACATTCAATCAAGAAACATAAAGACCTGCATTTGACCGGCTATGGTAAAAATAGGCATATATTAAGTGTTGGTACGTTTAGTGTTAAGAAGACAAGATTGTTCTCTTCATCTTAATGTTTTTTTCTCAATGTCTAAAAAAATTTATATTCTCTGTGTAAGTTTTCAAACTATAAAACTGATTCAAGCTTTCTGACACCCTAAAAATATTTTATTATTATATTCAAGATCAGGCAGAAAAGAAGATAATTAATATTTTTTATGATCATTTTCTTAAAAATAATGTTCTTTTAAAGAAACATATGACGAAAAATCAATCTAGTCTGTCACTAGATGTTAGTCACAGTTTCTTTTTCTCCGAGATGTTGGTTTTCCCGCAATTAAAAACCAGTGTCTCCCATGCTATGATAATGCATGCACGAGATAATCTGCGTAATTTTCCCCTGAGTCGGGAAAAAAAAGTCTTTTGGTTCAGAACAAATTAGGAGATTAATTTCATCTAACAGTAATCTAAGGGTCACTAAGTGAATGAATTAGCACTATTAAACGCGATATGCAATTGGTGCTTCATCCTTCATAAAAATGTTAAATTTAACAAAGAATAAGAATTAAGTTTTTGTTCTAAAAGTTTGATGTTTAAAATTAAATTTCTTATACTCAAGTCAAAATTTTTGATAGTTTTCCATTGATGGACTAACATAATCTTGATGGCAACCATCAATAATTCCACCATGAACCATTATATTTTTGATGGTGACCAACATAAGTAACCATCACCCCAATGTAGGAATTCGGACTGATTTTTGATGGTCCAACATAAGAAAGCAACTTGTTTTGATGGTTTGTTCATGTTGAACTATCAGAAATTTTCATCATAGTTTCTTGGAAATCAAATGTTGGATTGATCAGGAGCCACCAATGTAGGAATTTGGTCTGATTTATGATGGTTCAAAACACAAATTGTTTTGATGGTATATTCCTGAGAACCAACTAGAATTCGCCTTAAACCATCCTAGAAATGTATAGTTGGAACCATCATTGATTGTTGGTCCATGAGAATCAAACTTCTCTTGATGGTTAAACATCATAGTATTAAANCTAATATTGCGTCAATATAGCGAAATATGCATATATTAAGTGTTGGTACGTTTAGTGTTAAGAAGACAAGATTGTTCTCTTCATCTTAATGTTGTTTTCTTAATGTCTAAAAAAATTTATATTCTCTGTGTAAGTTTTCAAACTGTATAAAACTGACTCTAGCTTTCTGACACCCTAAAAATATTTTACTGCCATATTCAAGATCTGACTGAAAAAGAGATAATTTATATTTTTTATGATCGTTTTCTTAAAAATAATGTTCTTTTAAAGAAAACATATGACGAAAAATCAAGCTAGTCTGTCACTAGATGTTAATTCTCAGTTTCTTTTTCTCCGAGATGCTGGCTTTCCCGCAATTAAAAACTAGTTTCTTTCACGTTAAGATATAGTAGCACGGAATATTCTGCGTAATTTTCCCCTGAGTAGGAAAAAAAAAAGTCTTTTGGCTCAGAACAAATTAGGAGATTAATTTCATCTGACAGTAATCAAAGGGTCACTAAGTGAATGAATTAACACTGTTATTAAACGCGGTATACAATAAGTGCTTCATCTTTCATAAAAATCTTAGATTTAACAAAGAATAAGAATTAAGTTTTTGTTCTAAAAGTTTTATGTTTAAAATTCAATTTCTTATACTCAAGTCAAAATTTTTGATGGTTTTCCATTGATGGACCAACATAATCTTGATGGCAAAAATCAATAATTCCACAATGAACCATTATATTTTTGATGGTGACCAACATAAGTAACCATCACCCCAATGTAGGAATTCGGACTGATTTTTGATGGTTCAATATAAGAATAGCAACTTGTTTTGATGGTTTGTTCATGTTGAACTATCACAAATTTTCATCATATTTTCTTGGAAATCAAATGTTGGATTGATCATGAGCCACCATCATAACAATGTAGGAATTCGGTCTGATTTATGATGGTTCAAAACACAAATTGTTTTGATGGTATATTCCTGAGAACCAACAAGAATTCGCCTTAAACCATCCTGGAAATGTATAGTTGGAACCATCATTGATTGTTGGTCCATGAGAATCAAACTTCTCTTGATGGTTAACCATCATAGTATTAAAGTAGCACTTTACGTCATGGAATGATGGAAGTTTGTTGGCATATCAAAACCCATGAACGCATAACGGAGAATGTTGGATGATGGTGACCATCAAATGATGTTGAACCATCATGAATCGCACTGAAACCAACAAAAACCATCAAAGTGTTTTGATGGAACCATCAAGAATTTTGTCTCCGGTATACTATTGAGCCGATTTCATTCAAATTTTGCATTTTGCCCCATAAAATTACGCTCTTTTAATTAATGTAAAAATTTTCTACCTTTCAAATCGAAAAGTCGAAAACTTGCGACTAATTTTCGCTAAATATTTTTTTTATCTGCAATAACCTTTGGATAAACAAATTTTATCATTGAGTGCAAAAAGTTTTTCTTTCACTTTTCTTTTTCGAGAAAAGTATAATTAACATCGTCCCATTACAAAGTAAAATTATTATTCGTCCAAATATTCTACCCTATTTAATCGGTCCATATTTTAAGGATATACTGAAAAAGTACGTTTTCGTAAAGCATTATTTAATTAGCTAATTTGAATTATAAATTTAACCAGCTAAACAATTAAGTTTGAGTACGGGGTTGATTAGTTATTCGAGCAAATTGAGTAATTTTAAACTTACGTAAGTGGAGTAATATTAAACTTATTTATGATTTTTCTTTCTTTTTGCATACTATACTATATTAGTTATTCAGTCAAGAGGAAAAAAAAACATATTTTATATTTAAGTTAAAATAAAACACATAAAAAGTATATTATATGTTAAGTATAGGCTTAAGTAATTTTTATATAATTTGATAAATTTTATATAAACAGGGCATTGCTTCGAGACCACTAAAACGTCACTCACATCTCCATAAAATGTTATTATTAGAGTCCCCGGAAATACAATTCATGGTATTCTGTTTTGGTTTTTAGATTTTCAATTTAATGTTTATCGGCGTTTTTGTTTCAAAATAGCATTGTTTATCATAATTGCAAAATCAGATATTCTCTGTAATTGTTTTAAATTTAAATTCAGTTTATTTTTACTTTATTTAAGTTTGATAGAGACATGTAAATGAATCCGAGTAAT